TCTCTCTAACACTCCCTGATGTCTCCAACACTCCCTGATGTCTCCAATACTCCCTGATGTCTCTCTAACACTACCTGATGTCTCCAACACTCCCTGATGTCTCTCTAACACTACCTGATGTCTCTCTAAATCTCCCTTATCACACACTGCTACTGAGTGTTCACAGTCTCTGCTGCTGCTGATTGGCTGCTGTGGTCACATGATTTCAGAGAACGTCTCAGATTCTGTGAAACCCTTATATACAGTCTATGGTGATGTCCTCATCCTATTAGAGGAGACTGATGTTCACTGTTTCACTTTCTGTTTTTTGCCTTTAAAAGTGCCTCTCAGCACGAGTCTCTCCACTGCTCCTCCTCAGACGATCAGAACACATCAGCTGAAGAGAACCCACTCTCACTTCACACTGTAAATGACAATAATTATCATATGGTCAGTGTTTATTTTGGCAGCTGTTTTCAGTTTAGTTTTAGTCATTACATAAATTACATGAAAAGGTATATTTTAGTCATTTCTGTCTTCTTTAGTTTTAGTTTTTGGTAAAGAATTTTGGTGAAACATATTAGTTACTAATACACTATATACTAATACATAACTATGTATTATGTATTGTACTATGTATTATTATTACATAACTATGTATTAGTGGTTAATAAGGTCTGTATTAAGTATCATCACACATGTATTTGCTCAATTTCTTACTCTTACTGAACTAATGATTTATTCTTTGTAAATCACAACTAGTTGGTCATGGTATTAAGTTACTGGGTCTAATCCTGAGGCTACACCGAGTGCGGACGCGGAATTCAATTGCTTATAATAGAATGGAATTCTGGCAGCATATGCTCCGTGTCCGCAAGGCTGAAATCATGCACCCAGTGTAGCCTCTGGATAAGTAGAGAGATTAAACATTCCTTACACACTGTCTGAAAAATAGAGACAAGACAATGTATTACAAGGCAATTCTGATCTAGATATCAGTAACTTCAGATCAAGACCCACTAATTGCTTATTAAGGATTTACCAAGAAATAATAAATAAATTCAGTTTTCAGTAAGATAAGAAATTGTTGAATACATATACACATTTGTAATGATGCTAAATAAACACATTAATGATCAGTAATACATGCACATATTATTTGTGTATTATTGGCGAACATGTCTCACCCCAACTAGTGTTACAAGAACTTTTAGTTGTTATATATGTCCTTTATATATGTTCCTTCATTTCATTTAGGCTAATACTGGCATAAGGAATTGATATTAAAGTCACATGTTTTAATTATCAAGTGTTGAAGCCATTTGGATGATGTAAATAGTCTATCAGATGCAGCTCGATACACCAAACTTGCTTGAGAATAGCCATGTACATGTCTAATACAATAAAGTGTATTTTTTTGTCCAATAATTTAGCACCAGCAATCTAGTCCAAAAAATGGATCAATGGCAATGGATCAATGAAAACAAAACATAACTTCCAGTTTAGTTTTTAGTCACTAAGATCTATATCAAACTTATTTTCAGCTCATTATCATCATGGGAAAAAGTGTAGACGAATACTTAAAATTTTAGACGACGGCCCTGGCCGTGGCACAACTGGCTGGGGCAACTGCACCATACGCCGGCGACCTGGATTCGGTTTCAAGTCCCACCCCGTGGTCCTTTCCAGATCCCGGTCCAACTCTCCATCCCACTCGCTTCCTGTCATTCTATACTGTCCTATCTGATTAAAGCCCCCCAAAAATATACTTAAAAAAAAAAATTAGAGACTGAGTCTAATGGAGAATTAGATGGCACTGGAGCTAGCACTATAGCTGTCCTACTTCCCATATCTACTTCCCATATCCAGCAAACCAGCTGTTTGTCATTTTAAACGCATTTTTAACAGATAAGATTGTCACTAAACACAAGTTTTAGATTTTTTTAACAGTGGCGGCCATGCTCCATCTTGTTTAAAATCAACAATCCATTATTAATGATAGACTAATCAGTGCAACAGACAAGTGAAAACACATAATATAATATTCTTACACATTTAACAAAAACATACCGACATTTTTAATGACTAAAAGCAGGAATTATAACCTACATAGGTCCTACTGTAATTGGATCAGAATATTTCTGATTTGTATAGAAATTGATAATCACAATGACAATCATTAACACTAGAACTGCCACGATGGTCTGACAGACCGTTGGGGTTTTTATAATGCACATAACTCTGTTTAGATAAAACCTACAAGCTTCTCTTCCTATGACTTTTCCTAAAAATGTGTCTTGTATGTTTTCTGAAGCCTATAAGTTACAAAAATGTAACACACTAGACTCCTGAGCATTTATACCTCCGCTCCGCACAGACCGCTGCTGAAAATTATACATTTTGATCCATACAGGTAGGCTATACATATTGTAAAACTCTGTAAAAGTACACCAAAGCATACAATTTCGATTCCAAATATATATTTGAAAACAAAACCATTCATATGGTCAATAAAAAAAACATTTTGTTAATAAGAAAAATGAATGTAATCTCAACAGTGACCGCGCCCGCTGGCGGGGCTGCGGTTTAACCGCTTCCAGTGTTCATTCATTCATTCAATCGCGTGTTCAATGTGTGTGTGTGTGTGTGTGTGTGTGTCCATCTTCAACAACTCCGCTGGTTTTGGCGTCTCTGCCCCTCATATCTGCCACTCACATCACGTGAAACAGCGGAATCGCAGCCGACGAGACCAAGCTCTTGTCGGTATAATGTTTTCACAGCGAAAAAAAGATAAAATTACACTAAAATGATGTATAACAGAGCTTTCATACAGCTCTGCACACACATTACTCTGGGACGGATTACTCGCAAATGCAAGGTTGCACAGAAATGCCACGCATATCACGTGAAAGCGCAGGCCCAGAGCTTTCCAGTGATACCACACGCATCATTGTGCTGTCATCCCTTCACGCTATAAATACAGATTAATTGTCTACAAAATAAAAACCTGACAAATTTTTTTTACAATCCATTATACAGATCTTGTGTCACTTCATATAGTGAGGAATAATATTATTACTATTTTTCTAGATGTAAATATTGCATGTTTCTTTCAGATAAAACACATTTTTGACTTGTGAATGAGTCAATGGAATTTCTTGCAATAATGAAAAATACTGTCAATCATGTCCGCCTGGCACAAACCACATGTTTTGGACAACTGTGAAGTGACAGAATGTCCCAGCATCATGGTTCTTATATTGCCAGATTCCAGAGAGTCTCCCCTCTTCATATATGGTAGAATATGTCTTCTTCCAACTTGCTATGCTGAGATACATGTAAAAATGTAAGAATTTAGTAACATAGATTTTTCATTGATATAAAAATTAATATAAAATACAGGCACATAGAAGGACATGGGATGATGGCAAATCTGGATAGCCCAGATTGTCCTTAAAAAAACAAGATATAGCATGTGTATGTAGCCTTTATAATGACATATATGAGCTTAAAAGTAAAGGCAGTAAAAATTCCCCAAAAAGGCTTAGGGCCCATAGGGTTAAACAGTGAAATTAAAAGGAAGGTGAGAAATTATTTTCAGCCCCAATACTATTTTATCTTAAGTGTTTTGTTTTTTTAAATCCACACTTGAATGTTGGGCATTTTCAAGAAAATATGTAGTTTTCTTAAAAATCAGTAAGTAATCAAGAGTAATGTCATGTGCTTGCAGAAGATTTCTGCTCAGTCATTCTAATAAAACCATAATGAGCTTGTTTTCTTCACATAGAGGATAACTATGGCCAGCAAGCAAGGGCAAGAAATATTGAAAACAAAAACCGTGACTATGAAAATCTCTGGAAACTTTTATGAGACAGGGGAGAGTGGGGTAGACAGCCACAGAATTGGTCCTATGTATTTTGTATTATTTGTATTTTTAATATATTTTTATATTTTAAGTTTCAATTTGCACTCCATGCCCTGAATTTGGGAATTTTAACCTACAATATTTGTATTTGTGTCAATAAAGATCAACATTTTTCCGAATTTCTTTTTCATTTCTTTCATGAAGGGGTTCTTGTTTAATTTATATGATTTAATCAATCAAAATTAAAAAATAACCCTTAGATACTAGTTGTGTCAAAAGAATTACTTCGTAATGACCCTTAAAACAACAGAGACCGGAGCCGAAATATCAAAGTTTAACAGAATTTATTTTCTTGTACAAGAAGGAGCATTTCACAGTGCAACACACTAGAGAAAAGACAGAGAAAAGGCTCCGCGAGGAGCATCAACTGCAAGTTTTTATACAGCATAGGTGGGCGTTGAGGTTCAACCGTTTCAGTCCTCCTTATCTACCAAGTACAGACTTCATAGATAATGTCATAGCCGTTTCAGTTCCTTTCCTAATTTATCAAGTACAGTCTTCATAGATAACAGCAGTCTTCAGTTGGTGTGACACCCTGTCACACTGCCCTCCAGATGACATGCTCCGACCCTCGGTTTCTCCCACTTCCTCTTACAGATATAGTACTGAACTTCCCTTAACCTTAACTGAGGAGTCTGCTGATGTTACAGTGTTGCAGTACGAAACAGGAACAATTCTTCATGACTTGCACAAAATAATAGCATGAATAAACAGTGTGATCACAATTTTTTATAATAAGTTGTGATCATATACCACTAACTGTTTTTTGAAAGATACACTATAATTCAATATTCTAAAGGCAAAATTGACTTTTTGATTATTATTTGTATCATCAGTTGACCCAAGTAGAAGAAGAAATGATTTTGCACTTGTCCTGTGCATTTGACCCTAACTATGTAAGAGCAGTGGTGCTATGGCACCAGAGAGTCTATGACCCTCTGCGCTGTCATCAGCACAAATTATGTCCCCATGTGATAAAATCCCCCATGATTTTTTTTACAACTTGAGCACTGCTAACACTCCCTTATCACACACTGCTGCTGATTGTTTACAGTCTCTGCTGCTGCTGATTGGCTGCTGTGGTCACATGATTTCAGAGAATCGTCTCAGAGAAAGTGAACCTTAACAGGACAGACTGAGCTCAGAGCTGCTGTGACTGCTGACACTTCAACAGGTAAGAATCATCATCATCATCATCATCATCATCATCACACACTGTCTCTCTAACACTCCCTGATGTCTCTCTAAATCTCCCTTATCACACACTGCTACTGAGTGTTCACAGTCTCTGCTGCTGCTGATTGGCTGCTGTGGTCACATGATTTCAGAGAACGTCTCAGATTCTGTGAAACCCTTATATACAGTCTATGGTGATGTCCTCATCCTATTAGAGGAGACTGATGTTCACTGTTTCACTTTCTGTTTTTTGCCTTTAAAAGTGCCTCTCAGCACGAGTCTCTCCACTGCTCCTCCTCAGACGATCAGAACACATCAGCTGAAGAGAACCCACTCTCACTTCACACTGTAAATGACAATAATTATCATATGGTCAGTGTTTATTTTGGCAGCTGTTTTCAGTTTAGTTTTAGTCATTACATAAATTACATGAAAAGAAATATTTTAGTCATTTCTGTCTTCTTAAGTTTTAGTTTTTGGTAAAGAATTTTGGTGAAACATATTAGTTACTAATACATAACTATGTATTAGTGGTTAATAAGGTCTGTATTAAGTATCATCACACATGTATTTTATGGGGTGCTGTTTGTAAAGTGGCTCACGCTGAAAATAACATCAACATTTTGGCACTTAAATGTTAAATCTAAATATTAAATCTAAATCTAAATCTAAATGTTAAATCTAAATCTAAATATTAAATCTAAATCTAAATCTGAATGTTAAATCTAAATCTAAATGTTAAATCTAAATGCTAAATCTAAATCTAAATGTTAAATCTAAATCTAAATGTTAAATCAAAATCTAAATGCTAAATCTAAATGCTAAATCTAAATGTTAAATCTAAATCTAAATGTTAAATCTAAATGGTAAATCTAAATCTAAATGTTATCTTAAATCTAAATGTTCTGGGTGAAACTAAATATTCAGCTAATATGCATATTCACACTGCCGGTCACCTGGAAGTACCAAAATAAAAGCTCAAGATGGTCAGACTGTATTTATAGAATCAAATAACGAATTAAAACCAACTTATCGGGGGAAATGAACACTTGAACATACATTAGCGTGATAATAACTACCTAAAATAACAAGAAACATGTTTGTAGAAATTTTATTTGATGTGTACTTTGAGTTGTTGAGTTTAGCTATATATATATATATATATATATATATGTGTGTGTGTGTGTGTGTGTGTGTGTGTGTGTATCTCACATTTTTCAGGTCACTGTATCACCGTTTACACTAATCTGATGTTTGTAAAGTCTATAAACACAGTGATTGAACAAACATTACTATTTCTGTGTGCACGTTTTGTAATTAATAACATGGTTATCGTAGATTAGCTGGGCTAACTGTTAGCTGTTAGCCCCATTAGCGGTATCTGTAATGACTCATTAACTCAATAAACGGTCTTTGAAAAAATTATTTTTTCCAGCGGATGTCTTAGTTACAACATGATTGAGCTAACTGGAGTAGTTTCATATCATATCCGACAACGGGAGGCTTTAAACAGATGACGTCCTGATGTTAGCTTTGCTGCTGCTGTTAGCTGTCCCTGTCAGCTGCAGCCACTGATGCTTTCTCGACATCGTGATTTCCCAAAACTGAATAAATACCACACACAGCAACACAAAACTGCTTTGCTAGCTCAATCATGTTGTAACTAAGACATCCGCTGGAAATTTTTTTTTTCACGGACCGTTTAGTTAATGAGTCATTACAGACACCGCTAACCGGGCTAACAGCTAACGGTTAGCCCAGCTAATCTACGATAACCATGTTATTAATTACAAAACGTGCACACAGAAATAGTAATGTTTGTTAAATCACTGTGTTTATAGACTTTACAAACATCAGATTAGTCTACAGGGTGATATAGTGACGTGAAAAATGTGAGATATTCATATATATATTCATATGTAGCTAAACTCTGCTGGTTTTCTACCCGGAAGTATTTGTTAACAACAAGGCGATTCCCTCCGAAGGGACACTAACAACTCAAAGTACACGTCAAATAAAATTTCTCCAAACATGTTTCTTGTTATTTTAGGTAGTTATTATCACGCTAATGTATGTTCAAGTGTTCATTTCCCCCGATACGTTGGTTTTAATTCGTTATTTGATTCTATAAACACAGTCTGACCATCTCGAGCTTTTATTTTGGTACTTCCGGTGACCGGCAGTGTGAATTTGCATATTAGCTAAATATTTAGTTTCACCCAGAACATTTAGATTTAATATTTAACATTTAGATTTAGATTTAACATTTAGATTTAGATTTAGATTTAATATTTAGATTGAACATTTAGATTTAGATTTAGCTAAACTCTGACTCTGCTGGTTTTCTACCCGGAAGTATTTGTAAACAAGGCGATTCCCTAAGGACACTAACAACTCAAAGTACATGTCAAATAAAATTTCTGCAAACATGGTTTTTGTTATTTTAGGTAGTTATTATCACGCTAATGTATGTTCAAGTGTTCATTTCCCCCAATAAGTTGGTTTTAATTCGTTATATGATTCTATGAAGGTGTATCATGAAAGACTCCACCATGGCACCATTTCTGCCTTCACAGCCCAGGGCTCGATTCAGAGACACACATAGTCACACAAGAGGAGTCATCTCCTCAAGACTGCAGGAAACATGACTATCTTGAGTCTATCTTTGTTCATCTTCTTGTTATTTCTAACTATGGACAGATCTAAAGGCAACCTTAGAAAAGACAGAGAAGGATGTCGTTTTTGCATTTTTTAGCGTGAAGAAAACATTTAGCCTGTAAAACCACACATTCCAAGGATTTATTAATTTATTTATTTTTATTAATTTAAATAATGGCGTCAAGCCAAACTTTGCTATCCTCTTCCCCTGAGTCTAATGGAGATAGGACAGCACTGGAGCTAGCACTATAGCTGTCCTACTTCCCATATCCAGCAGCATCTTAAGGTCCAGGTATAGTCGGGCGGTGGTGAGCGGCTAGCGGTGAGGAAGTTCTCATTGGCTGTTATCCAAGACATTTCCCACCAAATTAAATTCATTTGTTGCCTGCAACTTCATGTCATGATATTGGTACCTCATTGATGGGGTAACCACAAGTATAATATCTATGAGTTTTGGTGTGTCCATCCTCCTAATCTTGATGAACAGATCCCCCCTGACTTGTATTAGTAATAGAAATTGTATTTTAGCATTTGTTTGTATTTTGTCAAAGCACTTGCATGACATCTTCTTTATCTGCTTCGTTGAACAGCACACACCATGGAAATTGCTAAGGCCACTCAGTGTCTCACCACTGCAGCAGATATGCGAGAGACCACCAAGATGCTGATGCAACCTAATGCAAACTGGGAAGAGTACCTGACTCCTGCCCCCCTCTCCATCGCCATCATGGGGGAGCTCGTCTTCATCTCCTCATCTGATGACTTCTCCATCAACAAGAACCCCCCAAAAAATGGCTACAAGTACATACAATACCCACACTCGTTCCGGGCCTGCCTCATGCAAGTCTGTAACTCAGGCTGGCATGCATTCAATGAGGCCCACAAGAATATGGATCAGATCCGCATTCACACAGCCACAGTTCCTGATTACATGAAGGCAGTAGTCAAGGTCCTTTTCAATGCACCTGATGAAGTTATTGACAAGCTCCTACCAAATCAGCTGGAAAACATTCGCACCATTGCAGATGAGTGTGTGATACTGGCAGACAGTGTTGAAAAGAAGTACACCAATGTCATCAACTTAATCCAGGAACTGTTGGAGGCCTGTGTCAATGCTGAACACTTTTATGGAGAAGAGCTGGAGAAGGTGAAGATGAAGATTAAGGAAAATGAAATACGGGAGAAGACCGCCAGTGAGCTTAAAGAACGGTCCAAGAAAGCAATGGAGGCCATGGAAAAGGAAATAAATGAAGCACAAGATAGCTACAAGAAAGCAATGGACTCTCTTCCCTCCGGATGGGAAATGATTGGAATGGATATGGTTGAAGGACTTTCAAAGGCAGTGACAGGACTTCTTAATGGAGTCGTTAACCTGGTAAGTGCTCCAATAAAAACAGCCTGCGGTTCAGCAGAAATAGCCTCAGACACATACCATCACATCAAATCGAAAAATGAAAACGAAGATGTGCTCTCAGTCTGCTGTAAATCTCCAGAGATTCTTTCCATTGTGGAAAGTCTTACACAATATTTGAAGGAAGGAAAAATAGCTTGGCAGCACCTATATGATCAGAAAGCACAATCCACAAAGTCAGACTGGTCTAAAGATCAATTCAAAAGAATCTCTGAGTCCTTGATGAAGATGAAAGGGAGCAAACTTCAGAAGCGTGCTCTGGAACTTTGTGAAATGGGTATTAAGATCTGTGAAGAACTGGCCACATATAAACCTGGTGAAAATTGGGTTGACAAGAAAGAAGCAAAGCTCGTAGAGAAACTGAACAAACTGGATGAACAATCCCGCATCTTTGATACCAAATGCAAAAAAAAATTGGGCTCTCCAGCTTTTGCTCCTACATCACCAATGATGAGCAAAGCACAGAGCAGCACAGGAGATCAGTCTGCCAGTCAGAGAGCAGCAGATAACGCTCGTTTCAAAATTGAGCAGAGCCGAGAACAACTCAAGGTAACACGGGAGGCCTATGAGAAGATTGCGGAGAAAATGGAGCAGAATCAGAAGGAGCTGACTGAGATCTTGGTTGAAATGCAGAGCTGTAAGCTCAAGGAGATTGACTTTGAAACCACCATCAAGATGCTGGTCAAGGGTCTCGATGCCATGGGCAGAGTCAAAGAGCAGTGGGAGAAGATGGTGCGCTTCTTCCAGATGATCTCTAACATCGTCAAATGCAGCCTCAGCAAGACACTGAATTCTTTTGTCTCAACAGCTGATGATACAAAGAAACTCAGTTACAACAATAAACTATTTGTCAAAGACATGCTGTACAACCAGGCGTTCCAAGCCTCCAACGTTGCCAGTCTGGTCCACATGATCTCAGGGACCTACACTGAAGTGTCCAACAAGTACCTGATGGACAGAGTGAGCAGCCTGGGCAAGCTCATGGCCATGGATAAGGAGAAGCCAGAATTCCTTCAAGAGCGTTTGAAGCTGCAACAGTCCTGCACAGCAGCTCAGGAGGGCATCCTTATGCTGGTCCTCAAGAACAAGAGGGAGTTTGAGAGGAAGACAGATGACAGGATGGCAAAAATAGAGAATGGTCTGAAAGCAATTCTGCCAGCTGCCTCACCCCAGGAGACTGAGAGAATCAAACAAATAGTTCAAGCTGGGTTTGGTGAAGAAGAAGAGAATTACTACTAGAACAAAATTTCTACCAGTTATGAAATTGTCACCTAATTCTGCTCGTCACCTATTTTTTTCATTACTTTTATTGATCAATCATCCTTACAGATTTTGATTCCTTTAACATTACTGATGATTTTAATATTCACATTGACAATCCTACAGACATCTCTTCTAAAGAGTGTAGTGTAAGAACGAGCTGTAACTGCAAAGAGTGAAGTAATAAATCAATAGATATACACTGGCATAAGGTGATTATGTTTGAAATGCCTGTTGAAGTTAATATACTCACTTACACATTGTTTCGTGTATTCAGGTATTGTACTCACACACACATCATATACTGCATGGAAGTACATGGAAACTAACGTGGAAAGTACCTAGAGTTCTCAGTGTTTTTGAGTTCAGTGTATACTCAGTAATAATGTGTACTCAATGTTTTTAAGTTCAATGTGTACTCAGTGTTGATGTGTACTCAATGTTTTTAAAAAATAGCGTGAGACCTGTCTCAAACACAACGGTGGGAAGGTTTGGGGCATTCCAGCCCAGGCTGATATGGCCTTAGTCTCACCACCAGACAATCAGAGATCTCTGCCTTCTGATAGTCTGGGGACACTCCTTTCTAAAGTGTGTTTAACACACCAGAGAACAAAGCAATGCCTCTTGCATTTTTAAAAGGACACGCCCTCCTGGAAATGTGCACTCTCCCTTTTCTCATCTGCAAGGAAACAAACACACAGAAAGCTTGAAAATGGATGCCGAGAGATTTCACTCCGTTTTATCAAACGTGTGCTCAGTCCACAAGATTGTGGAAATGAAGGACTTACAGCCATTTTGTACCGCTACACGTGTTTCTAGTCGGACTATGTTTACGAGCACAAGAGTTCAGCGAGCCACCGAAGGACCGCCCTGCGGATTTACTATTGGTTCTGCAACGTAGGGAGTTTTTTTAAACTCTGAAATTGTATCCGCCCATCTAAACACAAAATCATGGAGAAAGACATCAGTCTTTAGTTAAGCAAAGCGTTTAAAGACTGACTTGTGAGTCTAATATGGCCTTGGCCTTAGACACCAGTATGACTCATACCCAGGTGACTCAAAAAGAATACATCATTAAGATTGGACTCAACCAAAGGCAAAAACATGCCACTATTGTGTTTGCAGAATCTTCAGCAGCATAAAAGGGAGCACACAGAGAGTGAAACTTCAGTCTTGTTCCGGAGCTTGACTCATGAGTTGTATGTGTTATTGCTTGTGAACACATTAAACACGGTTGCACCTGATTCCACGTGTCTCCAGTGATTTTCTCAGCACCAGCCATCTGATTCTAAGATACTTATTTGAGTAGAAGGCGAGTCCAACCTAAAGAGTTGAAGGCAAGGTCGGGAGCCCCCAGGACCAGCTTCAGGCACTGATTTCTGCTTCATCAAGAGCTCACTGTTTTGTTTGACATGTTTAATCTGTATATTAACAACTCCATTCACATCAAAGGTCACACTCTGGATCTAGTTATCAGTAAGGGTCTCTGTATTTCTTCAGTTAATGTTACAGACTTAGCACTATCTGATGATTTTTGTGTATTCTTTGATGGACTGGTCTCTCCAATTAGCCAAACTCAATCTAAAACTGTCCCTAAGAGGTATATTAATGAGAATACCTGCAGTCTTTTTACGGAAGCCATGTCTATTACACCATGCATAACAACTCAGGGCGTGGAGGACCATCTAAGTCTGTTTAACTCCAATATTCTCAGGGTATTTGACTCTGTAGAACAAATAAAATATTCACAGACACTGTGATAATAACATATGAATGAATTTCAAATGAAAAAGAGAAAAAAAAACTAGGGACATGCAGCTACCCCAAAATATTATTGATTCAGATTTAGATTCAGACAACTTTGTTCATCCCATGTGAGGCAATTCATTTGTAGCATACTCATCCCAAGCATCAACCACAACAACATACAATTTCCTATGTTATGCACAGTCCAGTAAAACAGACCACTAGGTCATTATGCACATTGAATGGCCCAAGTTTAAAAAAACATATAGATAAAAATATTTTTAAAAAAAAAAAGAAAAAAAAAAAGTAAAAAATATTGTTACATCCAATATTATAAGAATGTGTAGCCTATTATTTTTGTTTTTTGATTCATGGAGAAAGTTTTTTCAGTATTTTAAATACAAAATTACTCCACTCAAAAGTATTTTCAAATCAAATCAAATCAAATCAAATCAAAACAACTTTATTTGTCCCAAAGGGCAATTCAGTTTGATAGTTCACCAGGCACTACAGGTATCCATGCATACAATCATAGATCCACAGCAGCAATTAGTTGTCAGTGAGGCCCGTAGGCAGCCTCCTGTGTCTCCCACAGAGAACACACAAGAAATACGCAGCACTACCAGTCGTAAGTCTAATGATACAACAAAAGACATAGTGTGCACACATGTACTCCGCAATACACAAGACCATAAGTCGGTGATTCATCAAGACATGAAGTACACAAGAATACACAGCAATAATACACAAGACAATAATAAGTCTGATGAACATCAAAGACAGAGTGTAGTACACCGCGATAAATACACAAGACAATCATAAAATCTGATGATACATCATAAAAAACATAGTGCACCCAAGTACACAAGCTAAGAATCCCTCAAGTCACTTCCATAGACTTGAATCAAGGTTTAAAAGTCTGAGAGCAGATGGGATAAAAGATCTGGAGTAGTGGTTAGTTTTCCTAGATGGAGCTTTAAAGCAACGCCCTGAGGGCGTAAGTGAAAACTCAGTGGACAGAATATGGTCATGCTGAGCAATCATTCCCTTTGCTTTTTTGACCACACGTTTGTTCCAAAGGGAACTCAAATGTTCCTGCTTCACACCAATTATCTTGGAACAGACCTTCACAATACCATTCAGGCAATTTTTATCTCTTACGCTCAGGGCGTTAAACCAACAAATGAACGAAAAGGTCAGAAGGCTTTCAATAAAGGACTTGTAAAACAAACACTGAATGTTTTTGCTAACATTGAAGGAGTTCAACTTCCTAAGTAGATAAATCCTCTGTTGACCCTTCTTTGCAATGATGTTTGTATTCACATGAAATTTTAGCTGGGAATCAAATACTGTTCCCAAGTATTTATATGAATCAACAATCTCCACCTCCTTGCCATGAATGAAGTTAACAACAGGCTTGATATGATTCTTGCCAAAGTCAATGATTAGCTCCTCAGTTTTAGACAGAGAGTTATAGTCACACCAACTGATAAAGGCTGGAAGAGCACTGCCGTGACCTTTTGTTAGAAATTACACTTGCTTTTTATCGGCCTTATCAAATACAAATTACAAAATACTCAAATGTAATTGAAATACGTATTTTAAATACAAGTAATAGAATTACTGCCCATCCCTGCCAGATGTATTATGTGTTTGGGTTGTCTATACATAGAGACGTTGACTGTCTTGTCATTGTGAACAAAATTTCTTAAAAACGCCTTGAGGAAATGTCTACAGATTTGGTACTCATTAGTTTTTGGTGGTCATAGGTCAAAGGTCAAGGTCACTATGACCTTGTCTGTCTCATTCTCGTGAATGCAATATCTCAAGAACACATCAAGGGAATTTCTTTAGGTTTGGCACAAATGTCCACTTTGACTCAAGAATGAACTGGGATGAATGATTTAGATTTTGGTGGTCAAGGGTCAAAGGTCAAGGTCACTGTGACCTTGTCTGTCTCATTCTCATGAACGCAATATCTCAAGAACGCCTTGAGGGAATTTCTTCAAATTTGGCACAAAAATTCATTTGGACTACACAATGATCTGATTGGATTTCAGTAGTCGAAGGTCAAGATCAGTGTGACCTTGTGTCAGTTTCATTCTCGTGAATATGATATCTCAAGAACACCTAGAGGTAATTTCTTTAAATTTAACACAAATGTTCACAGTTTATATCCGAAAGGTCAAAGGTCAGTGTCACTGTGACATCATCGTGTTCGGCATAAAATACTTTTCTGGCCATTGTGCAGTGTCATATCTCAGGAACAGAAGGGGACACATTTAGTCACATACTTAATTGGTGACACTAATCCACCTTGAATTGTAAGTAATTCTAGTTTTACACCAGTGTTGTCGGCCAAAAGTACTTTACTTGGCCCAGTCGCCAGAGGAAAATGTTGGCATTGTACATTTCTGCAAACCACAAATATGTTACCTTGCATGTTTCATAGGTATCATATCAACGATTCTGAAGTGACTTAGTATACGAACTGAATTTTGTCATCACAAGGTGGAGTGACAACTGGGCAAAATGCCTGCCAAGTTGCAGACCACTGCACACAATGGTTTACAACTAACAAACATCGAAACTGGTTGTGTTTTAGCGAGTCATTGCTGTGTTTTCAGCGGCTTTTTAGACTCCAGTATATGAACTGACTTTTGTCATCACAAGGTGGAGGGGATGATGTGACAACTAAGCATGACCCCTGCCAAGTTGCAGACCACTGCATACAATGGTTTACAACCAACAAACATTGAAACTGGTTGTGTTTTAGCGAGTCATTGCTGTGTTTTCAGTGGCTTTTTAGGCTCCAAACATTGTTTTGTAGGGACCTGTCTGTGTTGACAGTGGCACAAAGAGTAAACATTATCTTACGGAGACATTGCTACGTTTCCTGCCGGGAATGTGCCCCTAAAATATGATCTTTTCCTAACCATAAATAAGTAAGTTTTGGGCCTGAACCTAGCCACACATTAACCTCAGCATTGTTAAAACATAAAGTTTAAACATAATTGCTACATTTAATGTGCAAATTTGACATATCCATGAATTTGCAGAAACGTACAATGCCATCTTTTTTGTGGCGACTGGGTTGCTACTCAATATGTAAGTGGGAGAGCAGTCTTTGCAAAACAAAGACAGTGAACTACTACTAGTCCGTTGATATTCAACATTTTTCTTTTTGTCAATGTCAAATGTGTATTAATCCGCAGTTGAAAATAGTCCCCACTAAATGCATTATTTTCTCTTATCTTAATTTTTGTTAGGAATCACAGTGCCCAGCTGTTTTAGGACAGCACTAAACCACTTCTAAAGATTTTGTTGTCAGTAACTAATGAAATTATTAAGAGACAAAATAACACGTCGTTGTTTTAGGTGTTCATGTTAATGTTCATGTTAACAGTGAGAAAAATACAGAATAACAACAGCCTTGTGACAGATGTTCCACAGTAAACAGCTTTGTGTTTTTCAGAACCACTTTCTCCATATTCAAAGTTAAAGGTGTTGTTTGTAACTCTGCAAAAAGATAATTGATGAGTCTCATTCCCTGGTTGTCAAATACCAACGCTTCGGGTTGGTCGTCTTTCGGTGGAAAACACCTGCCATTTATATGTAGTGTAAATGTGAGCAGTGTGTTATACAAGAGACAGGAACAAACAAAACACTTTCACAGTGTCCTAGGAACAGAAAATTATTTATTCTCT